TGTGTGTGTGTGTGTTTGTGTGTGTGTGTGTGTGTGTGTGTGTGCGAATCAGAGCTCAGTCCAACAGCAGATGGCTGGTCCCATTCCTCTGGGGCAAGAGGTCCTATTGAGCCACACTTTTCTCCTGTGTGTGTGTGTGTGTGTTTATATGAGAGGGGGGGGGGGGGGGGGGGTGAGTGTGTGTGAATGTGTGTGACTGCAACTGCTGCAGCACGGCCAACTGTCAGAGCTGCTCCTCTTACATAGCTGCATATCGCATCACTCCTCTCAGGAATGTTTTAATGATATAGTGATATTACGCCACACATACCTGCCAAAAGGTCTCAATGTGGAGCATCTAGATTCCACTCATCGCACACAAACAAACAAGTAAATAAATAAACAAAGCACAAAAGAAACGCCACCAGTAAGAAGTATCAAATATCTGACTAGGTCAAACTGTTTTCAGGCTTGGTTTGGTTTTGTTTTTTTATCGTTCAGTCACTTTTAAATCTTAGCTGGACAGTATGAGGGGGGGCCAAACTCAAACCGCGTGTGCTGAGACGTTTGATTGAGGGAGCAGTTGGCCTGCACAGGGCATGGCGTGTGCCTCCTCGGAGCGTGCGTGCCTGAGAACGACCGGCACATGTGCCATCTGAAGAAACCCCGGCTTTGTGTGGAGCAGAGAGGGGGTCTGCACGTCTGTGCGGGATGCCAGGGCTGCCCCCCCCCCCCCGGGACAGCTGCTGCAGAGGTGACCCTGCTCACAGAGCACGCGTAGCACGGACACACACATAACCACACACACACACACACAAATCTGGCTATCCCGGCAGCTGTTTGTGTTTGTTTCGGCAAAGTTCTTTAAAACTCTCACATCCGCCGCCATCGAGCTGCTGGAGAAGTATTAAACCCAACAATAAGCTCATTTAAACACCCCAATCCAAAACAATGCTGATTGTGTGTGAAGTCACCGGCCGGCGAGGTAAGGCTGTATTTTTAGCGGCGGCAGAATAAAACATAGCAGCATGACATCCAGAAATAGCTCTGCACATGGTGATTGTGGTGCAGAGATAAACGGCTGGCGGCCTGCAGGAAGCCCCAACAAAACCCTCAGACAATGTCGCGGATGAGACCCACGTACACAAGACATTGCGTAAGCCTATCGGACGGGCCGGGCCACTACTGGAGCCTTCCACACCCAAAAGGTGAAATAAATATACACACGAGAGAGCAACAGAGACCCTTTTTAAAAACAAATAAAGAGCCAGAGATCTATGAGTATTTGTTAAAACCTCTAATAATTGAACAATCTGTAAAATAGCCCTGTCAGAGGGGTTTTCGGGTTCAAATTTGATTGACCGTAAAGCTTTGAATTCCAATTTCTAACCTTTAGGAGCCAATTTTGAGCAACAACATTTTCTGAAGTAAATCTGAGTGGTTAAACGACCGGCCCCCAATTTCTAGGTGAATGTTTCAGAGATGAGGACCTTCAAATAGAGGCGATACATGAGGCCAGTTTTGTAAAGCTTTTGGGGCACTAGTCGCCTGGAGAGTGGGGGCAGGGCTCCTGGACCGAGATTATAACAGATATGATGAAGATCTCTATAAGATTAAACCACCCACAATCTCTGCCTCCACTATCAGGGGAGGAGACCAGAGGAAATGACCAGAAGCTACCATAACGGGGAAAAGAGAGCAGGCTGTGTGACAGCTGGAACTGTGGGATTTGATCTGAGTTCAGTGGGATGAACGAAGGCTGATGACTTCCTCTGTACGGTAATCTGTGTCTGATGTCCAGTGTCATTAAAAGTTGCATTTTAGAGTCTGAAGCTGGCTTGAATAATACACCACCTTATCGTCTTTACCGGCGGAAACTAAAAAAAACTTTAGAAACAAAGAGAGAATATTCACAATATCATTTCCTCTGTTTTTGTATTTCTGAACAACAGTTTCAACATTATCGCCATCTTTTCAGAAACAGAATTTCAGAGAATCAACAAACGAACAGAAGTCGGTTGTTGTTCATGAGGACTCCACAAAGGACAATAGCCTCATTAAAACCACATCACAGAGGTCTCTGGACAGGCTCAGAGCATACTCAGCCGTATATATTGAGGAAGCTTTTAAAAGCCAGACATGTGAGCCCTGGTGGGGTGCACGTAACTCTCTCATTTCACATCTCTGGCCGCGGTGTCGAAAACCCGCCTGAGTAAATAGTTACACACGTGCATGCGGGCCACAGCTTGCAACACCTTCCAGTCTTCTCCGTGTAGTCGGGATAACGTGGAAACCCACTCACCGTCTGGCCATGCCCGGCCCGGCCCTGCCCGGCCCTCTCAGGGCCTGTGATGGGTTAATAATGGCCTTTAAGTGCTTCTCTCTATGTGCTAGCAGCAAAGCTGAGTGCCTCTTTATGTGACAGCAGAGAGGATGAGGGGCACGCTGACTTCAGAGGAGGAAAAAGCCCCCCCCCCTCACAGAGGAGCCAATTACACTGATTTCACCAAACCAAATAGTGCTGTGTAAATGTGAATGCACCTATTAGAACCTGTTAGATGTGAAGTATCTCACATTTCATAGAGACTTGTGGGGATCAGGAGGAGCACGGCTGAGGAATCCGTGAGGGTGGGGTGAGAAGCCTGGGGCAAGGCAGGTCTGCTCTAGTAGGAGACAGCAGCCAGGGCAAAACTTCCTGTGAGCTGGGAGAATCCTGATTGGATCCTGAACACAGGTCCAGAGGCTCACAATATTGATTCTGTTGGCTAAAATGCGTTCGGTATTACAGGGACCGAGAGGGTGCACGGGTCGTCTGAAAAAAAAAAAAAAAAAAAGGTCTCTCCTCAACATCTGGGCAGTAGATAATGTCCAAAACAGACGGGAGGCGTCTGCCCTACTGAGGACCAGAGCCGTGGAGCTGCTGAGGCTGGATATCTGGACGGTGCACCGCTGGTTTCAGGAATAGGATGTAAAGGATTCGCACAGGACCAAAGGGTCGGGTGATTGTGGGTGGATTTTAGGGCAAGAATTGAGAGCCAGGAACTGAAATACCAAAATGTTTTTTAGCCCACAGCAACAAGTAGGAGAATAAATAGATGCTGAGTCAAAGCGGCCGGCAGCGTCCAGAAGCTTTGAGACTAATGAAGGAGAACACGGCACATGTGGGACGGCAGATGTGCTTAAATTCTTCAATCAGGGTGAACCTTTCTTCAAAACGCACATTAGTGGAAATCTACCCTGGAGGCGTGGTCAGA